TGAGCCACCGCGCCCGGCCAGATTAATACTATATTAAACATGCCTTCTAGGGACTACTGTTTATCCTTTCCCTGAGTATGAAAGTTCTGGTTCTGTTAGTGACTGACCTTAGACTTAACCTTCAGTGCCAGATCAAATTTTTCTCTGCATCCCTTATGAATCTCAGGAGAAATATTGTCCTTTGCTATTTGGATTCTAAGTAATCCTGAAAAGAAGCAAACTTCCCTGACCCTGGAGCATCCCTGGCTCTCAACAAGAGCTTGTATTTTCCCCTTGATCATTGCTGGAGGATGCACTGGACTTTGTATCTGTTTCCTTAGATTCTCTTCCTTTCTCTGTTTTTCCTTTGACTATTATGAGAGGCTTTCCCTGTATTCCACTGTTATACAATATTCCATTCTCTTCCTCTCCTCTCTCTCCCCACGTTTTCTAAATAAGTTCCTTTTAAGTCATTTCAACTCCACTCTCAAGCTTTATGAGAATTTAGCTGAAACTCCCTTTTTCTAGTTACTTTTCATATTTCCATTTATTATATCCCATTTGCAGCTGGAAAGCATTGGTTTCTGTGCCATACAACTCTCCCGAGGCACAGTTACTGGTACTCACTCTTTGCTCTCACAGTTCTCTGTGCCTACTTCTGTTATAGAGCTTATGGAGGTTATCCGTTTACACTCTGCCTCCCCCACCAGATGAAGAGGTCCTCCATGGCAGGGATTAGTCTTTCATTTCTACATCTCCAGCACCTAGCACAGAGCCTAACACATAGGATATGTTCATAAACGGGCTACTGACTGAATAAGTTGGCTTTTCAAATGTGTAGCATCCCTCATCTACATTTCCCACAGACACCTGCACCCTCTGCACCCAAGAATGATCTCTAAATTCCTTCCATAGTTTGTGATGTCCTTGAGAGTGTCTATCATGTCAATGAATGAATACACTCACTGTGTATTCATTCTCATTCTGGGGAGGAGCCTCTGGTCCTACTGAGTATGGAACCTTTTAAGTACAATATTATATATGGCTGGACTTACATATATGGTACAGCTTGGGAGGTACCAAGAAGGATTCCCTTCCATAATCTCTCTTTATCCCACTAGCTAGCTTATTCAGTTGCCTAGAATTCTGTTATCAGAATTTGATTCCTTTGGGTTAAGGGACTGTCCTGTCTTTTTTTTTTTTTTTTT